CAAGCATCTTCAACAATAGCCTTCACCCCCTCCTGAAGGAATTTGAAAGGTTTTGGACTAGAGGCTACGTTGGGAGTTGCAATGACTATAAGAGAGTAATGGTCAGATAAACTAGTTGCAGTCAATAAAACTTTGGAATTTTGAAACATGGATAACCACTTAGAATTAACCAAAGCTCTATCAAGCTTAGCAAAACTTCTAGTTGAGATATCTTGTTTGTTGGTCTAAGTCCATACCTCATTCAGAACAGGAAATTCCAACAAATTAGCATCATTCACCATTCTGTTAAATTCATACAGAAGACCTTGAGGAATCCTCCTACCACCAATCTTTTCCCCATGTGCTCTCACTGTATTCCAGTCCCCAAGAGTCAACCAAGGACATTGAATTACGGAAGCATAATTATCAATTGAAGACCATAGCTTCCTTTTATTAGCTAACACATTAGTAGCATATTTAGGCGTAATAAATAGAGAAGTTTGAGCACTAATAATATGAACATGTAATAACATACACTGGTCAGTAGTATCCATAACCTGCACATCCAACTTAGAAGGGTCCCATCCAAACCACAACCTTCCGGATGCTGTTCAGGTGGTTTTAGCAAGGGTTACCTCTGTTCACGTTCCTCTGGTTCTGGACTGTGGGGGTTTGAGATCTCGGTGTTCCCCGTTTCTATTCGAGAATATGTGGCTGAGAGTGGAGGACTTCCAAAGGAAAGTCCAGTCTTGGTGGGAGGAGGCAACGGTTACAGGTTCTCCCAGTTTTGTGTTAGCCAGGAAGCTAAGGGCTCTCAAAATTGAGCTTAAGAGGTGGAATAAGGAGGTGTTTGGGAATCTTGAATGAAGGACGAATAGAGTCCTTGCTGATTTTTCTGAGCTCGTCTTGAAGAGGCGGGTCATGATGTGGAGTCTCTACGCTCTAGGAGATCTTCCTGCTTGGCGGTTCTCGCTGAGATTGCTAGCATGGAGGAGATCTCATGGCGCCAAAAATCTTGGGCCTTATGGCTCAAAGAGGGAGATTGTAATACGAAAATTTTCCATAGGCTTGCTAATGCCCACAGAAGGAGTAATCACATGGGGCGAATCCGGGTGGATGGTTTGGAGTTATAAAGGGAGGAAGAGGTGCGCAGTGGGATTATCTCTTTTTACTAGAAGCTATACACCGAGCCGTTAGGGTGGAGACCTAGGCTTAACGGCCTTCATTTTGATGCTATTTCTGAGTTGGATAGAAATGGTCTTGAGGTCCCTTTTTCCGAAGAGGAAGTGCTAAAGGCTTTATCGAGTTGCAATGGTGACAAAGCTCCAGGGCCAGATGGGTTTACTATGCGGTTTCTGATGGAAAGTTGGGAGGTGGTGAAAAATGAGGTGATGGGTACCTTTCAAGAGTTTCATTCTCATGGCGTTTTCGAGAAATCGTTTAATACCTCTTTCATTGCCCTCATCCCTAAGAAGGGTGGCGCTTCTGATATTAAAGACTTTAGACCAATTAGCTTAGTGGGTTGCATTTACAAGCTTATTGCCAAGGTTCTTGCTTTTAGGATGAGGGATGTTATGGATGGGATTATTGTGGATTTTCAGAATGCTTTTGTTGGAGGAAGGCAGATCTTAGATTCAGTTCTTATTGTATGCGAATGTGTGGATTCCAGGTTGAGAAGTGGTGTCCCTGGAGTTTTATGCAAACTTGACATTGAAAAAGCTTATGATCATGTTAATTGGAATTTCTTGTTGTACTTACTTATAAAATGGGGTTTGGAAGTAGATGGCGGAAGTGGATAGAGACATGTCTTTCGTCCGTAAAGTTCTAAGTTCTCGTGAATAGGTCTCCTGCTGGTTTCTTCGGGTGTTCTCGGGGATTGAGACAAGGAGATCTCTTATCATCTTTTCTTTTTCTCATCGTCATGGAGGGCTTGAGCAGACTTATGAGGAGGGTAGAGGATCTCGGTCTTATCCATGGCTTTAGGGTGGGCAGAGATCTTGCTCATCAGATGGAGATCTCTCATTTACTGTTCGCGGATGATACCTTGGTCTTTTGTGACGCTGACGTGTCTCAACTTAGATATTTGAGGTGCATTCTAGTCTGTTTTCAGGCAGTTTCTGGACTGAAGGTCAATGTAGCCAAGAGCGTGCTTGTCCCGGTTGGGGATGTTCACAATATTTCCTCCTTAACCGCAGTTCTTGGGTGCAGGGTGAGTTCTTTCCCTATCCCTTATTTGGGTTTGCCTTTGGGGGTCTCCTCTAGAAGGGTGGGGAGCTGGGATCCTGTGATTGATAGATATGTGAAGAGATTGGCAGGGTGGAAGAAGCAATATCTGTCGAAGGGGGGGAAAGTTACTCTCATAAAGAGCACTCTCTCTAGCCTTCCTACTTATTTCTTATCTGTGTTCCAAATTCCATGATCTGTTGCCGAAAGGATTGAAAAGATCCAAAGGGATTTCCTTTGGGGCGGAAGGGGCGAGGAGTTTAATTATCATCTCATCAGGTGGGAGCAAGTTTGCAAGCCTATGCAGTCGGGTGGTCTAGGTATCTAGAAGTTGGTTCCCTTTAATCAAGCTCTTTTGGGTAAATGGTTATGGAGATTCGGAAGGGAAAGGCATCGCCCTTGGAGAAGGATTGTTTCATGTCGTTTTGGGGAGGAGAGTGGCGGATGGTCTACTCGTCCAGTCTCTATTGCGGGAGGAGTTGGTGTGTGAAAATTCATTTGGAAGGGTTGGGATGTCTTCTCTTCCCATATTAGATTCAAAGTTCGTGATGGTAGATATGTTCAATTTTGGGAGGATTTATGGTGTGGTGACCAGCCGTTATCTTGCACCTTTCCCAGTTTGTACAGTATTGCCGCCGATAGACATGCTTATGTAGCTCATTGTTATCGGCTTATAGTAGTAGGATTACATGGGACGTGCGTTTTAGGTGTTCTTTTCAAGATTGGGAGATGGACGAGGTATGTGTTCTTTTGGATATGTTGTATAAGCAGGAGGCAGTTGGCAAAGGTAGTGATGATCTTTTGTGGGTCCCCTCTACCCATGGTAGATTTGATGTACGGACCATGTTTCTATGCCTCTCTAACTCAGTTGGCCTTGATTTTCCATGGAAGACCATATGGCGCTCTAAGGCTCCACCTAGAGTGGCATTCTTCGTATGGACTGCTGTATGGGGCAAGATTTTGACGATTGACAATTTGAGGAAGAGAGAGAGCGATATTGTTAATTGGTGTTGCCTCTGCAAACGTGATGATGAGTCTGTGGATCATATTCTCCTGCATTGCCCCGTGGCGTATGACTGTTGGAACCTTATATTTGGCTTATTTGGTGTGCTTTGGATAATGCCCCGATCTTCTAAGGGTCTGATTAATGCGTGGAGAGGATGCCACGTGAGAAGCAGCGTACGCGACTATTGGAGGATAGTTCCATATTGCGTTTGGTGGTGCATCTGGAAGGAGAGGAATAGCAGAATGTTCGAAGGGAAGGAGTTGTTCGTGGCGACGTTGAAACTTCATATTATTCGATCCATCTTTAGTTACGTGAAGAGGAGTTCTTGCTACTCTTTCGATGATTTAGTTAATCTTTTGGACTCTTTGGGTCCTTAGATCCCAGTTCCCTTTTTTGTATAAGGGACGCGTTCCCCTTTTGAATGTCTTTTAATCGATTATTACTTATAAAAAAAAAAAAAAAATTTGGTGAGAGGCATAGTTATTAGCCCAATTCCACCTATTATTCAATTTCCTACATATAGCAGCAAACTTAGTCTCTTTAACCCTTGTTTCAAGGAGGAAGACTACGCTAAGAGTATTAGAGAGGAGCCAATGCTTAACCTCCCTTTGCATATGGGGCCTATTCAGGCCCCTACATTCCTGCACCCAATAATAAAACAGCAGTGGAGGGATCTCTCTCTCCCCACCCCTCTTCACAGCCATCTCCTCTTCTGTTGTCTCAGCAAGCATTGCAAAGGAATTGGTAGTCTTAACCTGCTCCTGGCCACAATTCACAGATGTCCCTATCGTACCAGTAGAAATATTTGTGATAAGTGGGTTTGAGATCTCCACAACCACCGAATCTGCATTACAGGTGTTTCCCTTCTCTTGATGACAGTCAGCCTTATTAACCGCTACATTGGTCCCTCCCTCAACACTAACGATATGGGGTCCTGAAAAGGGTCTTGAAGAGCCACAACATCAGTTGCGAATCTGGAAGATTCAACAGCATCAGAGATGATGACATCTTTTCCCTTCTGATTAATTCCCCGCACCTGTGTTTCCTTCGAAACTTTGGGTTTACCCTTCTTCATAGGGCATTGCGAAATCAAAATGCTAATTGAGTTGCATCTTGCATGATCTTGACATGCTGTTATACATAGGGTTTAGTGGCATGCCTGGGTTCATGTGGTGCAATATGTGGGTTTTCCTGCATATTTCTTTCAAAATGGAATTACAATTCATTTAATTGTTGGTTTTTTTCAGCTGAAAGGGCTTTGCGTAAATAATTCTTCTTCTTCTTCTTCTTCTTCTTGGGTATGTGATTACTCATGCACACCCACTATTTGCTCCTATGGGGACTCTCATGTGAGAGGAGGAGATACCCCTTGAGCTAAAAAGATTTGGTAGTCTATAATATGCTTCTTAATATTGAAAATATTGGGTAAACAGATGAAATTGCCCCTTGTATTTCATTATTTGGAGCTTCTTTTATTAGTCTTTCATGTATACATTTTGGCACTGTGTGTTGTTGTTGGCGCCATTAGGCCTGAAAAAGTTCTAACCATGTTGTGTCATTCATTATTCTACTAAATTATGAAATTTAGACCAGATTTTATACTTTCTCGTGTTCAACAGAGATAGAATTACGTTGCATGGCAAGTGAATATATAGAAGTACCAATTTGGATTACAAAATCTCTATTTTCATGGTTTTCCTTGTATTTCAGGTTTGATGTTACCTTAAAATTGACTGTTTCTGTAAGTAAAGATATTGGAACTTGGCTGATATCCTTTTTCAATTCTGATCAGATTTGTCAAAGGGTTTTTGAATTGATGAAAAGTGAATGTTCTGCGGATACTCCGGCTTCAGAGCAGATGGAGATATTAGGACTGGATTCTTCAAAAGGACATTCCCAGAAGGAAAACTATTTCCATCCTGTTGACTGCTTGGACAAAGAAGATGGCAGTGACCATTTAGTTCAAGATAAAGATGGTGGAAGTAAGAATAGACCATTTGAATTATACAAAAGACTCACAACTGTAGTAGTTAGAAGAAACACTTTTTTGGACATTGTTTATAATGCTCTTGCTGACTACAAGTATGTGGGTCCTAACCAGAGGGCAGATTTGGTCTTAGCTTGCAGGTATGGTGTAACCTGTTATACTCTTACAAAATAAAATCAATATATAGGTTTTGGTGAAGTGTTGTCATATAGAATGAGCAACTTTACCCTTTGAGGAATTTTCTTTTGCAAACTATTTCTTGCTATAATTTAGTGTATGTTTTTCGGTAGGTTAATTTAAAGGTTGGCTTTGTTTTTCTTGTCATTTATTACTTTGTCATTATTTTGGCCTCATATTATTGCATTAAACATTTTTATGCCTATTGGAGCATTATTTGAAATGATATTTGGAGAATGCAAATTAAACATGTGTGGGGCAAGCGGAGAGTTTGTGAAATTTACTCCGGTATTTATAGTTTGTGCAAAATTGTCATTGCCTCTCAAGATTGGTTGCATTGTGTGGTCTATGTGGACTAGTTATTTAAGCAATTTGTGTATTTTTAATGCACTCTTTAACAATTTTTGGTAGCTCAGTGGGAGCAATTAGGTTTCAAGTAACTGTGATAATTGTTGTAATGGTAACACTTTTGGTGTAAGAGATGCCCCTGGGTTTAACGGTAATTGCTACCGTGGTCACCAACATACATGTCTAGCTCTATAATTCCATATTATGGGTTTTAATGATTTTTAGTGAATTTTATTGAATAATTAAAGATTATTTAATATGAGTAGCAGCTTCTACGTTGAATTTTAAGTTGCTTGACAATAAAAGTATAATTTTTTTGATCTTTCACTGATTTTGTTATCACAAATGCACTTAAACATGAAAATAGATTAAAGTTGCAAGGAAACATGTTTAAACAACATGCTACCTTTTTTTTTTTTTTGGGGGGGTACTTCAAACAACATTTTACTTTTTTGGTGCCATATATTAATGAGTAAGTATTAGCTTATTAGTCAATTGATTACCAATAGTCTTCTATACTAAATTGCTAAAAATATTCCAAAAATTTATTTATACTCCCCAAAAATAGTTAATTTGTAAATAGTGCTCCTAAAATTCATAAAAAGTTTCAATTCCAGCCCCCCTCTCACCCCCCATACAAAAAAAAGTAAAAAATTCAAAACACTTGTATATTGGCCCCGAAACCCTGAAATGCGTTGAGGCGCAACAGTTGACTGGACATCTACTGGTAAAGCACTGTTTTGGTGCGCCCGCGAGAGTGGTAAGACAAACTCTGAATACTAGATATGACCTCAAAATAAAATAACAGGGGTCAGGGTCGGCTAGTGAGACGATGGGGGATAAGCTTCATCGTCGAACAGTCCTCTTCCTGCCGAGCCCCCTTTCTCTTCGGTCCATAGAGACAAAATGTAGAATTGGTGCCAATAGTTCATCACAGAAGAACGGACTTACTAAGCTGGGATCATTAACTAATACTAATCTAATACTAAAATAATAAATTCTAAATTATTTGAAATTAAATTTAACTTGTGTACTCTTGAAACTTATAAAAAAATTCAAGTTGGACCCTTTTAGCTATACTTTTTGTAGGTACAAGAAATTCCGCTGACCACTCTAGCCAAACAGAGCTTCAAGAACCTTCACTCCATAGTCGAAAAATGGAAATCCTTTCAAAAATAGATATCTCAGTAAAAAGAAAGAGGGAGAGAGAGATCGAGAGATCCTCCTCCCTTTTTTATATCCTTCTTAACCCTAATGGGATCTTTTTCTTGGAGTGCGAGTTGAGGTTAATTGGGCTTCCTAGTTGGCTATTACAAATTTCGTATTTAGGCCAATTTATTTGTTAAATCGAAACCAGTCCATTCTTGCCTCGGGCCGTTTGACTTGCTTCATCGATCCTGATCAGCATTTGGTGTGGGCCAGCGATCTCGACACATGGTGTGCTTTGATTGGTGGTGCCTATCGTACAAGTGTCGGTCGCTTATTGGAGAAGATTTTTCCCTCCACACCTTGCCCCCTATTTCTTTTCACTTGGGGTGAGAAGGAAATTCGATTCATTGGGGATGCGAATGGTTCACTTTCCTTTCTTGAGTCTGTCTGTAATTATACTTTCTAGAGGCACGTGACTTCAGTTTTCGTATGGGCCGTCACTTCGACTTGCCTCATTGTGTCAGTCGTGTCAATTTAAGCATTCCATTTTTTCTTTCACAATATTCGTTTGACCTTCGTCTAGATCCACTCTAGCGTTTGAGGCTTTTCGGCGATCCCTTGACCTTATTCCGGCGTACTCCCAGTGGCATAACTTTATTACTCTGTGAGGTCAGTGTTCTCTTCTCTTCCCTTTTTTTTCTTTCTTAAATGTGGTTGAGTTCCATTGAAAAGATGAGCCAATCAATACAATGGATAGAGGGGGCATACCCTCCGTACATCAAGTCACAGCAACATACTGAGTAAGACCACTTCCAATATACTTGTAAGCAAGTGAAAAATAAAAAGACAGCAAGTCTTATGCTACCTACACAAATCATTGATAGATCTAATGGCGGTAACATCCATGACTTCAAACAGAACTGCTTTGGCAACCTTTGCTGCAGTCTTATGACAACTTTGGTGCAACCTAGACTTCCTCTCCTTCCAATTGGCCTAGATTGTAGTTGTGAAAATGATTGAAAATAGTGTGAAGATCGCTATTGTTCACACAATAATACAAAATTATCATAATCTTGACAATGCAGCCTCCTACCACAACAATGAGCAATCCATACCAGCTTACCTTAGGATGAGCAACTCTGCAAAGAAGGGAGTTTGTCATGGAGCATGAGACAGGTTGTAAACTGGTTCTAGGCCTGGCCTTGTTCCAGCATAAACCATACCAGCTTACCTTAGGATGAGCAACTCTGCACACCTCCCGAGCTATAACGGGCCGGGTGATTCACGATTCGACCCAAAAGCTTAAGCTGTTAGGTGGGGCTAACACCTAACCCATTTATGCCCATTACAATTTCAATCCAGATCCGATGTAGGACAAGTTCCACTTGTAACATTCTCCCTCACCCAAACTCGCAATATCCTCGTTGCGGTTGGGCCACCCTGCCTACCCGGGGTGAAGACTTGAATGCCCCGGGCCGGGCGCGCTTGGTGTGACACCGGATCAAGGACTGGTCTGGCTCTGATACCAATTGTAACGGGCTAGGTGTTTCGCGATCCGGCCCAAAAGCTTTAGGTGGGGCTAACACCCATCCCAATTATACCCATTACACTTCCCATCTGGATCCGATGTGGGACAAATACCACTTGTAACACAAGCTCTCTTAAAAGAAAATTTACCCCCTTTCCAAACCAATCTATCAGCATCATTATGCACAGGAACAGAAGCCAAAAATAATTTCGAAGGCTGTGCCTCAGCAGGTTCTAGCACATCCAGCAGCCAACTTGTCTGATCTTCGAAATGGTAGTGCTCTAACTACTCCATGCCCCAACTTTTGCACTATAGTCATTCCTTCCCACCAGGGATCATGGTAAAGACTGAATTGCTGGCCATCTGCAATATGAAAAGTAATTGCCTTTAACACAATGTCCCTAACTGAGAGCATGAACTTCCAAGCAGGTGAACTGGCCGGAGAGATAACTGCATCCCAGTAAGAGGATCCCTTAGTGCATTTATCCTTAAACCATCTTACCTATAAACTTTCTTTGTCATTCAGAAAGTCCCACACCAAAGCACAAGCTACTGCCGATTGAAGGTCATCAGCCTTTCTTAAGCTAAATCCACCCTCATCTTGTGGTCTTGCAATGACATCCCATTTCATGAAGTGCATTTTTTTAACATTTTCAGTACTACCCCACAGGAACTTTTTGATCATTTTTTGAATCTGATTATTCAATGCAACAGGGAGTTTAGCAGTGGAGCACCAATACAGAATCATGGGGTAAATCACAGTTTTAACCTACTCTGTTCTCCCAGCCAGAGGGAGCCTCAAATTGCACCATGAAGAGAATTTCTAGTATTTTATCCAGTAAAGTAGAACAATCAGGCTTAGGCAGATTATATGTGCTCAGAGGGATGCCAAGATACTTGACAGGGAAGCTGCCCTCTCTGAATTATAAAGCCCCTATCAAGCACTGTTTTCTCCTCACAGCCTTAGAAATGTAGACAGTGGATTTTTGTGCATTGGTGATTGGACTGGAGACCAGAGCAGAGAGCAAACTCATCCAACACCTTCTTAATGGACATTGCAGACTGAATATCAGCAGGTCATCAGCATATAATAAGTGACATAAATTTGAATTAACCCTTAAAGCTGCCTTGGAGGGTTTCAAAGTACCTGCCAGCACTCAGATTCTAAAAGAGAGGACAAATATTGTGTGACCAAGGTAAAGAACAGGAGACAAAGGGCAGCCCTGTCTAAGACCTCTCCCGGGTTGGAAAAAACCCTCTGGAGAATCATTAATGAGTATAGAGAACCAAGAGGAAGTTAAAAATTCTTTCACCCAAGCTATCCAAGTGCTCCCAAAGCCAAACTTCTCCAACAATCTGAGTAGGAAATTCCAAGATACTGAGTCATATGCCTTATTCAAATAAATTTTAAAAGCTAAAGATGGATTGGAAGTCCCATTGAACCCTCTAATCAGTTCCCTAGCCATTAAGATATTGTCATGTATTTTTCTCTCTTTAATGAAAGCTGTTTGCTCCCCGCCAACCAATTAATGAAGAACAGAAGCAAGTCTATTGGCCATTATCTTTGTGAGGAGCTTGTAGGCAGTATTACACAGGGAAAAAAAGAAGAAGGTAGTATTACACAGGGAAATGGGCCTTAAATCTGATACCTTCATAGCCCTCTGCCGTTTAGGAACTAAGGTAATAAAAGATGAATTAATACCTGTAGACAGTTCAGGGTGAGCAAATAAATATTTGACAGTTAAGCACAGGTCAGTACCAATAATACTCCAGAATCTTTGAAACAACCTTGCAGGAAACGGGAAACCCATCTGGACCTGGGGCTTTGTCAGGCTGAAAACCCATAACAACTCCCTTCATTTCTTCATCTGTAATAGGACCTTCAAGCACCTGGGTTTCCATCAGAGAGTGTTTCTAGGCTGCTTGAGAGAAGGTACAGATTGAGAATTTTGCCCAGCAAAAAATTTAGAAAAATGTCCCACAAATAGGCCTCTAATGACTTCCTGATCTTATGTAACACAACCATCCTCTGTCCGTATAGAAGTAATAGAATTGAAGTTTCTATGCTGATTAAATTTGATATAGAAGAATGAAGTACATCTATCATTGTCCCTCAACCAATGAACCCTAGCTTTCTGAGCAACCAGTAGCTCTTCATTAGTTAAAGCTGTATCCAATCTGCTTCTACAATAATTCTCCTTATTAATGGTATCTAGATCAAACGGTTTTTGCTGCAAAACAGTTTTAGCTTTATCAAACTCCTCTCTAGCAGACTTTACCTCCTCATGAACGTTACAATAGTTGTTTTTATTCCAGTCTTTGAGCAATGTCTTAACCTTCTTCAGTTTCTGGTGTAGAGACCGAATAGGATTGCCAGTCTGAGGTCCCTTCCAAGCATCAGCAACTACAACATCAATACCCTCCTGAAAACACCATACTTTGAGCATCTTAAAAGGTGTAGGACCAGATGCAATACCTTGAAAAATATCAACCATAATGGCTCCATGATCTGACAACTTAGCATTATAAATAGAAGCTGTAGCAGCAGTTAAGGTATACAGCCAGTTAGCATTAATCACTGGTCTATCAAGCCTTCCATAATCCTCTTATCTATACCTTGTCTGTTACAGCAAGTAGGAGCTAAATTAGTGGTGTGAAGATCCATAAGACCACACGTAGCAAGACACCCATTGCACTCATCTAAAACAGCTTGTGGGATGCCCCTACCACCCAACTTTTCAGAGTTAAATCTAACTATGTTCCAATCACCCATAGCCAACCAAGGGCCATAGAGGGATATAACTGTAATTCACCCCATAAAATTCTTCAAATCTTCACAGTATTCCCAGCATATGTAGGGAACAAAGACACCTCCACTTTATGATTTAAACAATTGGTGAATGCAAATGTATTGTGTTTTGATTCATTATGGAATTGAATGTGTCCACTTTATTGCAAGATATATTTATAGTATGTGATGACGATCAATACAAGAGTATAAATAACAATTATAAATAGTTCATAGTCAGTAATTAAGGATGGACGCTTAATTAACTAAGACTTGAATCGGATCCACAATAAGGTAAGATATTTTGCGAGAGCTGTCGTATGCAATTGCTCCCTATCATCGTCATGACATTTGACTCTCAAGCATGAGAGAAGTATAGACTCTTTTATTGATTAATAATTACTTTGATTGTTTAACGGAACCTTCGGGATCCTTTAATCGGCAATTGTGTAATTAATAGTTAAGAGGGTTATATTCTCAATATTTGCATTGGTCCTATTTGTATATATTTTGTATTGATTATGGTTGATCACAAAGTAAATTCGAAGCCCATAACGTTTTTTGGACAAAATAGTTTTCTTTGTATTTGTTTACTAAATAATTATTTTTGTCAAACAAATGTTTATTGTGATCAAGCCGGAAAATAATCAAGGATCCAAAATAAATATACTAATTATGCAGTTGGATTGATGGCTTTAATTATCCGATAGCTAATTATGCATAGAGGGGTCAAGTGCAACATTGACTTAGTAGTTATTTACTATTTGATTGGATGTCAATTAATTTATTTTAATGAAGTAAAAATTAATTCATGAATCAATTGAATTGGTTCCATGGAAGTTGGACCGGGTCAATTATTAATTCATTGGAGCCCAGAAAATAGTAAGCCCAAGGGATTCTCACCTATAGCCCAACTTGATATTGGAGGCCCATGAGATTGGAGTTATCACTTTTATTTGTAGAGATTGAGAATTGTTATTTCCACTCCATGTGACTATATATGTATACTTGGAGGCCATGGATTGTTTAGAAAGCCTTTAGGCACCATTTGTGTGTGAAGACAAATACTTTCTCTATCTATAAATTAGGGTTTAGTGTTCTCATCTCTAAGGAGCTCCCACAAGCTTAGCCACCAAGGTCATTCATAGAGGCATATGGGTGATTCCTAAAGGTAACACCATAATCTTGAAGACGGAGGCCTAAGGAAGAAGGATCTAGCTAAAGGGATCTTCAATAAGAGAGAGCATTCACTTTGGGCTACTATACTACTGTTGGTGTCTTGTGCCCTCCAGTGTTGCTTCCAATTCTCACTTTAATGTGATAACAAGTCTGCCATTAGCATTGCAGCAAATCCCGTTCAACATAATAGGACTAAGCATATAGACGTTGACTGTCACTTCATTCGAGAGAAGATCATTTTTGGTCAATTTTGCAATCCATTTGTCACTAGCTCTTAGTAGCTTACGAAGGGCGTGAGCAAAATGTTTGAAGATGCATTGTCTAAGTTGGGCGTCTCAGATATCAACGCACTAACTTGAGGGGGAGTGTTGGCCGAGATATGATAGCCACAAATCATGGGATGTGACTTACCATATTAGCAAAGATATGATAGCCGCGAATCATGGGATGTGACTTACCATATTAATATGATAGCTTCGAATCATGGGATGTGACTCACCATATTAGCCAAGATGTGATAGCCTTAAATCATGGAGTTTGACTTTATTTACGCATATGTCCAGGCTTAGAATCTGCAATGATTTTATTTAATTTCCTTTATTGTAATGTTAACATGTGAATTAGTAATCTATCTCATTAAAGCCTTTACTCTTCTATTCCTTCTAGCTGTAATGTGCTCTTATGATGTAATTAGGGATTCTTGGGGTAGAGTCTTTTAACCTAGGCTGTACTCTTTGGATTTTGCATAGATTAAGGTCTCGTGCTTTGTCCTTGTTTAGGGTTTTTCACGTAAAAAATATTTTGCCTTTGCTTTATTTTATTTGTTTCTTTAAATGTTTATTTGATTGCAATTGAGACACATAATTAATTAATTAACTGACTTTTGAATAAGGAACGGTAACTCGAAAAGAATCATAGTCTTTAGAAACAGTCCTACAATTTTAATTTTGGGTTTTTTTTTTTTTTTTGTTGGGGGGGGGGGGGGGGGGGGGGGGGGGTTGGTTTAAAAAGCCTTTGTCTGACTTGGAAGTTCTTCTCAGTATTCTATTTAATGTTTTATATTTTTCTCTATGTTCCTAAAATATTTTTGTCATATGTGCTGAACTCTCTAAGGTCAAGTCTTTGGCGATTGATGGCTATAATTCAATGGGTACTGATAAATGGCCAGTGTGTCAAAATAATTGGACCTTTGAAATGCCGACAGTCCCTTTTTGTGTTCGTTATATAATATGTAATTATGTATTGGATCTTGGAATTGGTTGAATGTGATTAGATTATTCGGCATCCGATAGTATGTAGGTGCAAAAGCTCCTTACTATTACTTTAGAAAAGCATAAAAATTGGATCCATTCTATTAAGAGTAGATGACTGAACTGATGGCATCATTATTGTGAACAAAGTCGTTATTGTTGGGACAGCACTACTTCAATTGATTCAATTAATGCGCCAGTGCATTGTACTTGTGGCAACTAAGGCATCATGTTTCAAATCATGTTGTGATGTACTTGTTTGCAGATATGAATTTCTCTTAAATTTTATTTGGTTGAAGTGTCACCTTCATTTTTCTTGCAATTTTGCACTATATCTTTTTTTTTTTTTTTCATGAGAAACTTCTGCTTGTTTCAGAATCCGAGAAAGGAAGGAATCTGTGACTGTGCTATTGTGTGGCACTAGTGGCTGTGGCAAATCTACTTTGTCTGCCCTTCTGGTATATCCATTTTTCTGCCAAAAACATTTATTCTCATTTTTACTATTTGGATCTGGAGCAGTAATGGTGTTCCTTGTACTTATTATTTTTCTGTGTGTTCTGAAAACATTTGTGAGTTTGCATATGATGCAGATTGCGTCTTACAATTACTATCTTAACACATGCTCACACAACTCATAACAACATAATTTTGTAGTTTATTTTTTTTTTATTTTTTTATTTTTATTTTCTATTTTTTTCCAAATTTCAACTGGTTTTTTATGAATAGTTATGGCCAAATAAAATCTTAAAATAAGACATAGTAGACTTGGATTTCAGGCTATTTCTGGTAGCAAAAGCTGAAGATGAACTTGGAGAAATTCCATCAATGTTCCTGCATACAACCATTTCTGTCTTGTTCCAGCCTGTCATGCCTGTGGCTGAGTGGCTCTGGCTTATTCACATTTCATAAATACAATTTATGAACTGAGGGTTGCATGGAAATGTATATGCTATATAATGTTTGCCTCTGTTGTTCTAAAAGAATATAAATAATGAATCTATATATGTATGATCAAAATATATTAACTTGATTTCTGTTAGTTTATACACTCAATAAACCCTGAATCCCATTTGCAGGGAAGCAGGTTGGGGATCACAACTGTTGTATCTACTGACTCAATTCGGCATATGATGAGGAGTTTTGTAGAAGAAAAGCAAAACCCTTTACTTTGGGCTTCTACATATCATGCTGGGGAATATTTAGATCCGGTGGCTGTTGGAGAAGCAAAGGCCAAGAGGAAAGCAAAAAAATTAGCCGGTTCTTCACACTCAATACCAAAGGATGATATAAATGATGGTTTCACCGCTGGAAAATCTGATTCTCGGCTACTAAATGTCGCTTCTAGTGCTGTTGAACTGATCAGTCCAAAACAGATGGCCGTTGAGGGATTTAAGGCACAGAGTGAGATGGTAATTGACAGTCTTGACCGGCTGATCACTGCATGGGAAGATCGGAAAGAATCAGTAGTTGTTGAGGGTGTCCACTTGAGCCTTAATTTTGTGGTAAGTAAACGCTTGCTACGATGAGAATCCTCCTGACAAGAAAGTTCTCCTTATTGTTAGTGGTCAATTTTGATCACAATACTTATCTGATATGCAGATGGGGCTTATGAAGAAACACCCGTCAATTATACCATTCATGATATACATCACAAACGAGGACAAACACCTGGAGCGTTTTGCAGTCCGTGCAAAGTATATGACATTGGATCCTGCTAGAAACAAATATGTAAAATATATCCGTAACATCAGGACAATCCAAGAATATCTCTGCAACCGAGCCGACAAGCATCTAGTCCCAAAAATTAATAATACCAATGTTGACAAGAGTGTGGCAGCCATCCATGCAACGGTTTTCAGCTGCCTACGAAGACGTGAGGCTGGGGAGCAGCTTTATGATCCCAATACAAACAAAGTTGCTGTGATTGATGAGGAGTACAGGAACCAGTGTGCTGCAAATTCATTGAGCTCCAAAAGAATGTTTCAACTGATCCAGAGGCAAGGTTCTTCTAGACATCTTATGGCTCTTCTAAATACCGATGGCTCTGTGGCAAAGGCTTGGCCTGTTGACTCAATAGGCTGTAGTGGCAATCGAGTTGTGGTTGATTCAACTGCGAATGGGAGAGGAACACCACTGTATGGGCCTCTGCAGATCGGTAAGGCTGAACCTGTCAATCTTCAGTTTGGTCACTTCGGGATCAGTGCTTGGCCCAGTGACACTGGCGGCACGAGTCATGCCAGCAGTGTTGATGAATCAAGGGGTGATGGAACCGATAATGGTAGTAGATATTACTCTTCGTGCTGCAGCACACCGAGGATGTCTGAGGGACCTGCCAAGGAGGTATATGATGATTGATGATTATTTTTCCAAAAGCACAACTATGATGATAATTTATCCAAGATCCCCTTCACTATAATATTTCTTTGTCAGGCAGAATTTGTGACTGATTTAAAATAAACTAGTGAATACAACATTTTTAGTTCATCATTCAATTAGTGTTGAAATAAGAAGCACAACTCTTCATTGGCGACCAAATGATTTGATTTTGAATATTTTGGTAGGTTTGCTACTTATTTTATTTATTTTCTTTGATAATTTCCCCTTGTACATTCAGCTCAAGGAAGAACAATCTGTGCATGGTAGCGATGAAGAGGTGGACGATCTACCTGAACTGGACAGCGATGAGGATCTTAGTGATGATGATCAGAAACAGATCAATGAAGAGGTATAGTTGTGTTGTATAGTCATTTGGAAAATTGTTATCAGGTTGAGAACTCCCATGTCTTCATCTTCTACACGTTTACAACAACACCCCCCCCCCCCCCCCCCCCCCCCCCCGCGGTCCCCACAATGGTGGTAGCCTTGTGCACTGGGCTAGCCCTTTTTTAAAACTATTGTGGTGAACTATTTCGTCACATGGCGTGTATATTTTATTCCATCCTGTAGACATCGGACAAACCAAATATATTTTGCATATTTGATGTTGGTACGTGGATATGATAGTTTAATATTGGTCAAACTTCAGATGGACACTCATGATTCGCTGCTGTTTGGTGTAATCTTCCTCGAGATGATATAGCTGGTTACAATCACTCTTGATGTTGAGACAAAGTCTGTTACTATGCTTTGAAATTATACACTTTTCATCTCATATCTATTCATTTTACAGATGGAGGGTTCAGTGGATGAAGAGTCTACAAAATCAGATGAGGAATACGATGATTTGGCAATGCAGGATGTGCGAGAGAATGGTTACTGGTCAGACAATGATGATGAGTTCAATTATAAGGTAGTTCCTATTTCTAGGGACCACCCAACCCCCAAGGTTGCTCATACCCGGGTAGACAAGTACAGACAGAATGTTGATCGGCCCTTGAGAACTAAGAGTGTATCACTATCTGAGCCACCATGCTTTTACTCTTCTTCGCATAAGAATGAAAAGAGAACGTCATTCTCGGGCAGTGCCAAAATGAGGAAACGTTCTCTTAGTATTCCAGCCTCCCAAAAGCACATGTCAATGACGAATGGTCCTATTCTCTAAGGATCCCTGCCAAGGTACTGACAATTTTGTGTAGTTTTCCAGTTTATCTCTTCTTCATGTATAAAAAATGTTAAGCATACATGCATGGACTAGTGGTTTTCGCAATTTGTTTTCTGGGTGAGCCTACTGTTTGCATGGGGAGAAGAGATTTATAAATAGCCAAGTTGTAGCAGCAAATCTCAAACGAGATTTATGTTGTCAATGACAACCATGGGCATTGCAAGGTAGTTAAATCTTTATTTTCAATTTGTTGAAAATGCTGATGGTGTTGAGTGGTTGTGGGATGTGCAGGAAACTAAAGTGAGTCTATTGTGAAGGCACTTTTACAGTATGGGATGTTTCTCTCCTTCGAATTGCGAGAGGAAACTCTCATAATCTCATTGTGAGAGCGTCCAATGATGCCTTTTTTTCATTAGAAAATCAGTTTCAGGTATTTTTCATCAGTTTAGTTGCACATCAGTTCTGGAGCCTGATTGAGCATTAAATTGATGTTTCTGAGTTTTAGGTGCTACTCTTTTTCGTGGAAGCCACGAGGCTCGAACCATAGCCTTTTTTAGTTTTTGCAATAGCTAGATGATGGTGTGCAATATCAGTCAGCCATTGATCCCAGTTACTTGGATCTATCCTCCACGGAAAGTAAGAAATTCTGCAGATTTTGACTAATTCAAGGTGAAAAATGGGGTTTCTCCCTTAGCAAAACTGGGATAAACTTCTACTAGTGGTCTTTGATGTCCCCTCAGGAGCATGTCACAGTTCCTTGACAACAGAATAAAACCTGTGTTGATAGTGCTAGACATAAGATGTTAGACCTAGCATCAACCTAGTGGTGAAGGCGTTGGCAGTGGTGTGGACTTGTTAATAGTGGTCATGGTTACATTGTCATTTTCTTTGGTGTTGTGGTGCTGGTCGTTAAGCCACAAAGGTTGTTATTGATGATTGTCACATGGGGATTACAGGACACAGGATCTTCTCCACCCTTTTGTTTATGTCCGATATTTTTTGTTTTTGTTAGTTTTTCGCTAGTGATATAGTACTTCGGTAACTTCTCTGCCTCCCAAAGTGGAAGGTCGAAAGTCGAAAGTTCAAGTCGTATGTGATTGTGCGAGGTTTGTGTCTTTTTCTTTTTTTTTCTTTTTTTTTTTTTTTGAGGTGTAAAAAACTGATAGTACTTGCCACCACGTTATCAGCAATAAAAGCTGAAAAATGTTTTTAATTTGTTGGATGCACTAGTAGAACATAGAGGACAGTGGGGAGAATCTATGCCCAAGGCTGGTCATGTGGAATCTATTGTTGTGAAAATATGGTTTGTTATATACTTTTTTAATAGGAAGCCTTATTCAATTTAGGTCTGTAAATGAGCCATGTCGAGCTTGGCTCGACCATTTTACAAGGTTGTTTGAGCTTGGCGTGAGCTTAAGTTGAGGTTCCATATTATTGTTTGTGCTTGGCTCTACTATATATGAGCGAGCTCGAGCTCGGCTTGCAGATTGAGCTTGTTGTCAAGCTCGAGTTTGTTATAAAGCTTGTTTGAAGCAAGCATATGATATTTTGAAGCATCCATAATTAGGGAATAAGAAATTTTCATTGAAATTTATTAACAGTGTATAATTAAAAATTTCTTTCACATTGATAAGAAAAATTATCTGAAAAAAGAAACCAATCTTCTCAAGCACTATCCTGTAATTTGTTAGTCCAATCCTTCACCAACGGTCAACAGAATACTAATAAAAAGTCAGCTAATAATAAGTTTGTTGATATTGGAGTTCCACCACTCTTTTTCTTTTAAAGTAAAATTACCAAAAAAAACTCCTAAACCAAACAATATTTGGTTCTTATATTTTTCAATCTCTCATTTCCCGTTTACATAATCTCACTTTCTTAGGTGTAAAGAAATAAAGTCTCTCAAGAGAAAAGTCACAAAGAAAGTTTTGAGAGAGACAACATGTTGAATCCTAAACATCTTTAAATTTGTTCATTGATGTCATCTAACTTCAATCTGAAATCTCAAAGCTAGTTGCAACAAATTTCGAGAATCGATGCAAAAGAAGAGAAGTAAAATTGGGATCGAAAATCAAATAAAAAAAATTAAGTTCAGGCAAACCAAATGGAGACTCAAATAAAATTGGTGGAGCAAAGCGATTCCGCAAGTCAACTCAAATTGCAACAGCTTGAGTTTTGTTATCAAATACATTGAAAGTATACCATTATTCCTACCACATCAAACCTAAAAAACATATCCGCATTCGAGGTCATTATAAACGTATTGTTAAGGTACCATGCTTTTTTCCAAAGGATTCTCAAGCGCATGGAAGACTCCACAACAGAGAGTTATATACAGACACACAACACACATATAGATAAGGAGATGTGGTGTTGTCTAGACCTAATTGATGATTGGGAGAGCTTGCATCGATGATGTAGTGAAAGAGTGGTGATAGGAGAGAAACGAAGGAATCTCACCCTAACATGGAAGGGCAAAAATGGTATTATAAATAATTTATCTAGTTTAGGGACTTTTTTGTAATCTCATTTTAGTAGAATAAGAAAGTGGAACGCCTTAGGATGTTTTTGTAGTGCCAATATCATCTCCCTAATAACAATTATAAATCTGGCATTAAGAAAGTGGAACGCCTTAGGATGTTTTTGTAGTGCCAATATCATCTCCCTAATAACAATTATAAATCTAACATTAAAAAACTTTAAGATCAGAAAACACATTTTGCAAATTTAAATTATATGATTCTAAAATTCAAGCTATATGAACTAATTTTTCTTTTCCTTGTATACATGAAACTCCTAAAAAAAACAATCCAATAGTGATGAAGTGGATGAATTTTCATATTAAGCATTAATTTAGCAGAAGGAAATGGAAATGGAAATGGAAATGGAAATGGACCAACTATTTGGGCACTTGCTTCAACATGGACACTGAGATGACCAATCATTAAAATCGATACCATGGTCCTGAATGCATTGTATAAGGATTAATCAGAATTGCTTAACCATTACATATTTTCTAAGAGGTTCAATAGTCTACATTTTGCCTTTTGAAGTCTAGTGGATTAAAAGCCATACCTCTGCATTTCATGTCGTATAAAAGGCAACTAAAGAGGAAGAACAAAAAAGAGTGTTAAATTCACATCACTAAAGTAGCATTTCTAAGAAAGAGGAAAAAAGAGAACAAGCACAGTACATTGAAATGAAGCTAGGGCAAAAAAGCACATCTCTTCCTGCATAAAATTAGATTCACATATGTAATAATTCACATCTCCTACAAAAAAATTAGATTCACTTTGAAATGAAGTGTTGGATTCACATCCCTAAAGTTGCATTTCATAATAGTATATTTTCCTATTAGTTCTTTGGGTAGTCCAAACCACACCTCTTCATGCAAAAGAATAGAGTTTAAAAAGGCAATCAACTTATTTAAGATAATAAAAAATTTCAAGACACAAGCTACTAAAGTTTTAGGGCCTTGGATAGCTTTGGGAGATTGGAATATGATTAGATATAGTCATGAGAAGAAAGGAGGATCGAGGGTTCCCCAAAGTAAGCTGGACGTGTTTAATAGTGTGATTTTTAATATTAGCATGGAAGATCTTCTTATTAATAATGGGGATTGGTCTTAGTGTAATAAATAGATTATCTAAAAAAGGATTAATGCTAAGCTGGAGAGGGTGTTAGTTAATTCTTTGTGGTTACAACACTTTAATGATTCTAAGGTGGTTCTCACTCCTGCCTCTTTATCTGATCACTATGGCATGGCAGTCCAATGATTTTTTGATTGTTCAGTTGGTCCAAAGCCTTTCAAATTTCTCAAGATCTAGTGTTTGCAGGCTGAGGTTGAGAATGTGGTGAGTAAAGCTTGGGAGACTAATGGTTTTGGAAGTCCTATACATGTTTTACAAAAGAAGCTCAGGGCTGTGAAGGAAGCTGTCAAAGCTTGGAACAAAGAAAAAGGTACTACTTGATAGCAAATCAAAGTTGCTAGAGATGAAGTTTATTTAGTGCAAATGGAGCTGCTTCAGAAGCCTGTGTATTTCAAAAGAGAGAGAAGCTACTGACAAGCTGCAACATGTTCTTGATCTAGAAGAGATTGTGTGGGCACAGAAATCCAGGATTAAATGGTTACAAGAAGGGGATAAATATACTAAATTTTTTCATAATGTGGTAAGGTAAAGAAGATGCTCCAATTCCATCACTTAGTTACAAAATTCTATAGGAGAAGTCTCATCAGACCCCAAGACTATTAGAGATTGGTTGGTTCAGTTTTATTCTGAATTATACAAGAAACAAGGAGAGGTGAATGTTGAGGTTAGGCCTCCAAGGAAGGTTTTGACTCAAGAAGATTGTGATAGGCTAGAGGGTGTTATAACTGTTGAAGAAATCAAAAAGGTTGTGATGCATTTTAAGCTGAATAAAGCACTTGAACCTGATGGTTTCCCAGCAAGGTTTTTTCAGCATTACTGGGGTATTATTGGGCAAGATCTTATCAATGCAATGTGTCATTTCTTTAATATTGGGAATATGCCTCAAGGTATCTTACTCTCATTCCCAAGACTAACCATGGGCATAAGATAGCAAATTACAGATCTATAGCCCTACGTAATCTAGTGTATAAAATTATTTCTAAGGTTTTAGCAAACAGATTGAGCACTGTTCTTCCCAATTTAATTAGGCCTAAACAATCAGCTTTCATCAATAACAGAAGGCTTCATGATAATATTTTGTTGGTATCTGATCTGATTAAAGGGTTTGGAAAGAAGCAGGTGGATCTTTCTACGGCCTTGAAGGTGGATTTAAAAAAAGCTTATGACTCTGTGGACTGGGGGTTTATTTAGAGGATGTTGCAAGTTTCTGGTTTTAGTGTCAAATGGATTAACTAGATTACCAAGTGTATTTCTTCTCCAAAATTTTCTATTTTCTCTGCCTTCAGAGGTATTAGGCAAGGTTGTCCTTTATCTCCCCTTCTTTTCTCTTTTGTTACTGAATACTTTAGTAATTTGATAGAACAAGCTATAGAGGAGGGTAAGATAAAGTTATATAAGGTTGTGGCTATGACAGATATGAAGATTTCTCTTGTGAATATGTAACCGGATCCGTATATATCTCACTATCAAAATAAGATTCTTGCAGATATATCACATAATCATTCGGAATAGCAGATCTCCTTTCTCTTAAAGATCGTCTTAATGTTATTTCTTATGATTCTTCTACAATCTATTCATTGGTGACAATCTCATTATGGAGTTATTGATCATTCAATTGTTCTTCGTTGTTATACGGTTCAACAACTGAAGGAACAATTATTTCCTATTATGCTGACGACTTGTTAATTATGGTCAATGCTGATATTTGTATTGCAAAGTCAATTTTGGATGTGTTCAAACATTTTCAAGAGGTTACAGGGCTGCAGGTTAATAAAGAAAAGAGTTCAATTGTCTTTTCTAAAGCAGTGAAAGGAAGAAGAAAATTGTCAAGCATACTGCAATTCCATACTGAGAGTTTTCCTTTTAAATATCTAGGGCTGCCTTTATCTAACAATAATTTGAGAATAGGTGAGTTTAGACCCTTGTTGGATAAGATAAATCTCAGATTGGCTCATTGGAACACTATAAATTTGTCAGTGGCAGGAAGAATTGAATTAATTAGATTAGTGCTTTATTCTTATTTGTATCATTGGGTATTTGGATTTAAGATTCCTTGGGAGTTTAAGACTGGTCTGGAAAGAAGATTAAAGCAATTTTTGTGGAGTGGTAAGCAGGATGTTAAGAAGATTTCTCAGATTAAATGGAGTCAGGTTGCTTTACCTATTTTAGAGGGAGGTTTTAACATTAGAAGAATTCAAGATACTAATGTTGCTGCAAAAATTACTCTCTGCTAGGATTTTGTTCAGAAGAAGGACAAATTGTGGATTAAATGGCTTCATGCTGTGTATTTACAAAGAGGTTCTTTCTGAAATGTTGTTCCAAAGTGTTGTGATTCAGTTATATGGAAACAAATTATATGGTTGAGACAGATGGTATTAGAAAATACTGAGTTTAAGATTGGAGATGGAAAGGTATTTAGTTTATGAACTGATCCTTGGTGTGAGTCTTGTTGCCCAAGTATAGACTCTAGAGGGAGGGGGGGGGGGGGGTGAATAGAGTCTAAGCAAACTAAGGTCAATTTTTCATTTTAATTAACTGACTAGGACTTAGCTTAATATCCTTG